GAGGGGTGGGCAGAACTGGGAAAAAAAATGTATCTGCTGAAGATGCAGAGAAAAGGACCTCATTTCCAGAGACAGGCTGTCAGGCCAGAATCCAGATGACCCAACGGAGCAACATCATCCAGAGAAAAAAAGTCCTGATACCAGTACAGGTTCAGGAAAAGGTGAAGCATCTTCACAGAGTAATTTTTTACTTGGAGAAGTTAAAAAAATATAGATTATCTGTATGCTAAGTAACCTGAGCTGTCTTGTATACAGTCCTTGTTGTGGGCTTCTGCATTGTATGTCAAAAACTACATGAAGAATATTATTAAGCTTGCAAAGTCAAACAATTCAAGCTTAGCACATTTCAGAATGATGGTTATCTGTAAAACCTTGATTCAGCTCTCTTGGACATGTTCATTATGATTAGATATATGTTCTTTATCAAAAGTGTTCACTTTAATGAGTAATTATTCAATATTTTCTTTTCTCCTTTTTGTTCAGTACATGACCACATGCTTAATTGACTGCAAACAAAGTCTGTGTTAAATACAGTTATTAATGTTGGGCTTTTCTGTGGCACTCATCCCTAGCAATTGACTGCTTCATAAACATTAATGAATTAATCTAGACAAAGCCCCTGTGAGGTGGGACACTAAGAGTTTTCCCATTTTGGTAAACGTTTTGAATGCTTATCTTGCCGGGATCATTTGACCCCAGCAGACTTCCCACCTATGGCAGGGAGCTGGACTCGATGATCTTGCGAGGTCCCTTCCAGCCCCTAATGTCTATGGATCTATGAAATGTAAATGACTCTTGTTTCGGTCTTCTGCAGTCTACCTTTCATGACTGCCCATTTCACCAGCTGGTGGTGACGGAGTTACCCTTACGAGGGAGACATTTATTTTTGGGATGGTTTATTTTTTCCCCTTCAAGATTATTTTCAATAAAACCATTTCCTCTTGCATCGCTGGTTTCTTTTCAGCAGCAAGACTTAAAAATCCTGAGTATGAGGATAATTCTCTGAAGGGGATGATGTTCCCTCCCCAGTCCATGGTGGCAGGTAGCACTTTGCCTTCCCCTCAGTTGTGGGGAAGGAGGGAAGGGCAGGAGACACAGTCCCATACTGGGATGGATACTCGGGAGGGGCATGAGGGAAAATGGTTCCTATATGGACTGGACCGGGGAAACTTGGTGCACTGAACATCTGTCTCCCAGCCCGCAGGCTCTGCCAGGGTCAGAGCCTGCAAATCTGCACTTGCACTCTCCAGATGCTCCTAAGGGACCCAGGTGTGGATGGACATGGGTGCCAAATCAGGGACATAATTTCCCATCCCACATGCAGGTGATCTGCTCTGCCCCCTTGCTCTAGGCATCTCCTTCCCCTAAAATCCCCAGCACTCCTAATTTGGAGCGAGGTTACCTGGTATGGTACAAAGAGCTGGGCTGAAAAATAGCTTTGATGCAGAGTGGAAAGAGATGTCAGCTTTGTGCCATCATAAACACTTTCATGGAGGCAAAAAGTGAAAGCCAAGAAATATCCATACCTTCAGTGCATCATAACCATTCACTTTTGTGGCCTTGAGTTGGAGGGTGGTGCCGCAACACCCTCTGTCTCCTCCTCCCAGGTTGATTTTCCCAGGAGACCAGGCCATCAGGAATCCCCATCCATTCCCTCTCCATCTCCTGGACATCCCTCTTCCCCACTGCAGCTAGCGTTAATGTCCCATCCTCCTCCCTAGATAGCAGGGATGGCTGAGGAAGCAGCAGCTCAGCTAAGACATTAGCAGG